TCTATGAATCGTGTGATGCTTTTGTCTGTAGAATAATTTGTCTATGTATATATTTCCAATCTCACTTATGATTTCAGGAAGAAAATTTAGTATAACTTTATAGACTCTGTGGTAATAAATTAAGTCTGTTCATAATAATATTGAAATGTTTCAGTCTCCTGGTTATACTCAGTTAAAGAATTATGTTTTTTATTTGATTTTACCTTAAGTAGTGTTGTTGGGGGGGGGCGGAGGATTGGATCATGACAAAAAGGAAGGAATATGTATTTTTTTATTATACATATAATCTCCTAAGAATGGGGAGGGGGGGAATCAAATTGCAAAAAAAGCCCTTGAGAAGTTTAAATTTTTTCACACAATATGGTTACAATGCTGAGTTCAGTAGATCTTATTTCAAGATAAATAAGAATATAGTTAAAGTCTTAATTTAAAAAAATACTAAGCACTGAGATAATTGTCTGTGTTAATGTTCTAACTGTATCGTTAGAGCAGCAGAAGCAGCAGGCAGTCTTTCTTAAGATTTTTCATAAAATGGTAAGTCTACAGCTCTACATTTTATTCAGACTGAATCTTATTTACCCTATACTGACACTGTACCATAAATAAACTATTAATAATAAAACTTTTACTGCAGATGCTGTCAAAGGATTTGTTGACTGGAAATGTTTTCCTTGACCTTCAGCCTTGTTTCTGAAAACCAATAGGCAAATTGATCGTTTCAGTAATGGGAATAAACTCCTGTGTAAAAGGAATTGTACACTTGGACCAGCTTTTCTGTTGCTGGTTTGTATGAGAATTTCCAGGATTGTCTGAAAGTATCAAAAGCAGGACATTTATGAAATTTCTGGTGGAGTCAATTGGTGGATTTTGCATTCACACATTACACATGGTGGAATGTAAGATTCCATGTTTATAGCAGAGGAACTAGTTCATAGCAGAGTATTTGTTTGAGGCATGTTCTCTGATATATCTGCTTTGTGAGAAGTCAGCATTTCCCCCTGTAGATCTTTATACCACTAGTGAAGAAGTCAATTTTTGATTTTGCCAAAAGGAGAAAAGATCTTGCAGTTCAGAGATGCTGCGTGAACAATCAAGTGCCAATGGCATTTTTGTCATCAGCATCTTTATGTCAACTTGTGCTAATAAAAATGCCTACTTATTATTTCAGGCTGTGGAAGATATCAGATTATATCTGAATAACCAAATTGAAACTTAGGCCAAGAATCAATTGGAAAATATGAAAGGATTTGTCACTAGGAAGTTCATTGTTTCTTGATACCCAAGGAATATATAAAGAGATGGATATACCTATGCTATGTCTGCTTTACTCTTCTGGTTGGAAGCCTGAGAAAGACAGATAGCATGTCCATGGGACTCTTTACTGCGGAGTGAAACACAGCTGAAATCAGCTCAAAGAGAACTTCAAGAAGGCAGGCAGGTATCAGATATAAGAGAACTGAATAGAGTGACATCCCCTTGATGGTCTTCTCTGATTCCATTTTTGTATTTAACAGACAGCTAGAAACACTAAGATATGCTTATAAGATACGTTTCTCATAGCAGAAAACATCACATTGACAAACTTGGCTAATCTTAGGGGAAAAAAGCAAAATGATGTTAGGTCTGATTAGTACTAGCTTGGGAGACCACCAGGAAATCCCAGGGCTATAGATTAGATGCGGGAGTTGAAAAAACATCTAGGGAGAAGGAATATTGTTGCCATATGGAAATGCCATGTACCTACCAGAAGCTGAGCTGAGATTGAGAAAGATTTGACTCAACTCAGCTTGACTTTACCAACTATCTAGCACCAGTAGCCGACACATGATGCCTTACACTGACCTTTCAGACCTGTTTTTTTTCTAAGAAGAAGGATAAGGGAAATGCTGCGTGTCCTATTTGAATTAGATGCTGCTAGTAAAACAAAAACCAAGCAAACAAAAAACAGGCTGCCCCTGCTTTCTGAAAGAAAATGCCTGGTTTAAAACGACTTTGCTTCTAGTTATGGGAAGCATGCAGAAACACCCTGATTTCCAAAAGCTGTATTTAACGTGCTATCATATTTACCATACTGGGTTTAGTCAAGCTAATTCTGCTTCTCTGGAGTATTACAGTAATGCACTTTTAGGTAGGATATATGAGACAAGGTTGGATATGACTGTTCTATCAGAGCCTCACTTTTCTTGCAAGATATTAAATAATGAGTATCTCTGTTACACAAATTGTCAGTGGTAGCAGGTTCTGTCAGTTGTGGTAGGAAGATGATGATGATGATGATGATGAT